CGGAAATGGAAACTTTTATAATTTAATAAAATTACAAAAAAAATTTTTTTAAAGATGAGTTCATCCTGAATTTTATGCACTGGTCAGTTTTGTTAAGGTGATGACCAGGTTTGTTTTGCTGGCACGCAGCACTGTTACATCTTAGCAAAAGGACACTGTCCTTTTACAGCCCAGTATCTTCAGAACATATTCTAATGCAACTGTGCCTGGAGTCACATCCTTCCTGTTTTTGCTACTTATGTAACCCCAGAAAGCTGTTGTACTTCAAGAGCTTTTTTACAGGCTGCTCCAGCAAGTGGGAGGTAACTTAGGTATAGGAAGCACGAGTAAACTATTGGAATTCATAACCTTTACTACTTGTGTTTATGAATGAACCAACTGGTGTATAGTTTGTCTTCTTCCTTTTATATTTATGGCAAATTGGTGATTCAACTAAGACATAAAAAGATACATTTTCAAGATTCTCTGAGTAGTTAATGAAATCTTTCTTTTTGTATTTGGCAAGATAATGATTATGGATATAATATGAATTTAGTGAACCATTAAAATAGTTTTTAAAAATCTGTGTTTGGAAGAAATGACATGGTGATATAAAAGGTTAGGAATTAAACAGCTTTTATGCTCACTGATTTTGCCTTGTTGAAAACTGAACAGTGGTGACCATGAAGCATCCTCAGAATGAATATTTTCTGTTGTGTTAGCATATGTGCCTCCTATTTAAATTATTCCTAACAAATTTGCAGCTATTCAACAATGAATGAAAAAAGCATGAATTTGAAAGAAAGCTAAGAGGTAGATAGATAGAAGAGGATTTGGAGCAGAGGCAAGGGAAGAGGGAAATGATGTAATTATGTTATACTCTCAAAAATTAAAAAGGCAAAATTGCTGTTACTATTTCTTTTTATCTAACATCAGCATGACATATTTATAAAATTGATGCATTTTAAAAATTCATAAAATAAGAATACACAGAGAGTTACCCAGTGTGGTGTCTGCTTTCATTTAGAAGCATTAGATAATGAAGCCGAGAGCTCTCTGCATATAATAGAGATGTGGCTCGCATTTCTGGGTTACCTGCAACAGTCCCCTTCAGGAGCATCACTTTGGCACTCGTGTAGAAGCCAAAGTTGCTATCTCATGACCTAGTAAGAACTGTAAGGATTTTTATTTTTTGTGGCAACATTGCTTGCTTGTGTTTCGTTTGTGTCTTGATCTTTGTGTTGCTGTCAGTGCTTCACAATAAGAAATAAGAAAACAGAAAAGTCGGTCCTGGAAATACTCCAATGACCTAAGCAATGAAGTTAGTTACTTTTCCCTCTTGGGACCATAAATACCCAACACAACTTCACAGGGAACCTTGATTTCGGCCCTGGTTTCAGTGTGTTGGGGAAGGGAAGGTAGAACTCAAGATTCAAGAGCATGTGGGAAAGCTTCTTAGCATCCCGGTGGACCAGGATGCAGAGACCCTGAGTAGGACACAGAGGTGGGAACGTGCAGATGTGAGGTGGGGAGGGTGAGGTAGAGAGGTGGGGAGGTGCAGAGGTGAGGTGGGGAGGTGCAGAGGTGAAGTAGGGAAGTGGGGAGGTGGGTATAACCTTCCAGGTCCACACTTAGTGGTGTACAAATTTCAGTCACCACAACTGGGGATTGGGCACCAATATCTTTCCATTTGTTTGCTTAGTGTCTGTGTGTGTGGAGAGCAGAAGACAGCCTTTATTTCACCATATGGGTCCCAGAGGTTGAGTTCAGGCCTTTGGGCTTGAAGACATTTGCCATTATTTGCTGAGCCATCTCACTGGCCTGAGCCATGGGTGACATTTTACATTCAAGCCAGAACAGAGCTTTTTAAGATTTCTAACTTACATTTAAAACATTCTTTTAAAGTTTACACTTGAAGTTGTTTTATTTCATTAGATTTTCTCCTTTGAAGGTGAATTTGTATCTTGGACATACTCAGGTAACTCAGCTATAAATTTCCCGTGATACTTGACCTTTCTGTCTTCTCCCTTAAGTTGTATCTGTTTTTTTTTTCTCCCCAGAAAAACCTAAACCCATCTACTGAGATAAGCCAAGCTCTCACCTTCGCTGGCCTAGATGTAGTCTTGCCAGTTCCTCTCTTCTTTGCTCATTTCTTCACTCTGCTCTTAACTGTGGACCTGATGATGTCCGTTTGCCCCTTGGATTTTCTCATGGTTTCCATTGCCTACAGAGCCTGGGTTCCATGGCCTTCTCATCATTTGTCTGAATGCAGCGACTTACACTTTCCATGCCAGCTGTGCCTGTCATAACCAGCTTACCCAGTACTGAGGATCTGGGGTCCTTGCTTATTGGTCAAGACAGAAGAACCCCTTTTATCATAAATGAGAGGAGAAATCACATTTCTAATATCCATTGCTGTCATTCCCTCCACTGGAGTCCAGTTAGTTGTATGTGGCTAGCGACCTCCTTTCTGTGTTGGGTGCTTGGTGTGTATGCTGTACTTGCCCTCTCTGTAGTTTTTATGTTGTAATTCTCCTTTTCATTAGAATTAGCCTGTTGGTGTATTATAATATTTAGAATCATGCATCTTATACAGATGCTTTCCATTTTTGGCAAATATATATTCCCCCACTCACCTCGCTGGCTTCATCTTTGCTGTGTAGCTCAGATTCCAAGTCCCCTCCACCCACTAGACTGCAGGTGTAGCTGCTGTGCTGTCTGTGTTTCTTCTTTATGTATTTTTTTTAACTCATGGTGCTGCATTCATCTGACCAAGACAAGTTCCTATGGTGAAGTAATTATTTGACTGTGTTTTATCAGTAGCCATCTATAATTATGTCTGTGTATCACCGCACCACTACTTGTGTATTTGTTAGTTGTTGATTTGAACAGTTCTTTTAGATGATTGGAATCACCATTTTTATTAATGTATTTGGATACTGAGGTTTGCAGGGGTCAAAGGCATGGCCTAGTAAAGAGCCGGGTGATGTCTCCTCTAGACTCACACTGACTGCCGTACCGACTTCTCCTTATTTACTGGTAAAGGATGTAATTGCCCTGTTGTACTGGAATCCATGTTACTTACTTTAATTAGCACTTTGAATGAGCCATAGCATTTACTTTCTCTAGCATTTCTAGTCAAGTCTGGCATTCATAATTTCATTTTACAAGTGAGACTGATGACAAAACAGGATAATTGACTTTTCCAGTTGTATAACTAGTGATGTAAAGCATGAAAGAAGAAAGGTCTTCAGACTTGTAGCCTTGTACTATTTCTATTCCCCTGTGGTGCTTCTTTGTTCTGCTGTAAATTGGGAAAGTAGTTTTTCTATTCCTGTGATTTTACAGAAATATTGGTCTTTCGTGCCCATGTAACAGTGTAAAACAGGAGCTGGGGAGATGTTTAAGTTGGTAAACTCCATGAGGACTGGAGTTCAGATCCCAAGCATCCATATTAAAAAACAAAACAAACAAACAATCACAATGGCCTGCTAGGCACCGTGACCACCTGCAATCCCAGCACTTGGAAAGTGGAGACAAGGACTCCCCAGGGTAAGCTGGCTAGCTGGATCTATCATGGAATCCCAAGTTCAGTGAGAGACCCTGCTTTAGCAAATATAGTGGAGAACTATAGATAAAGGCACATGACATTACCTCTGGCCTTCACAACATGTACATACATACTCATGAACACCCTCACACGTGTGAACCTACATGCACATACACTCTACACACATAAACCTGCGAAAACAGTGTAAATCATTAAGATAACAGCTTTGGGTTTCACGTAGCATGATCTCTATGTGCATCATGTTAATATCCTTGGTGGAATATGCCAGAGCAAATGACACATTACTTCACAGAAGAGGAAGGCTTAGGCTTGATGATCTGTCTCTTAGGGCAGTTGCAGCATCCCAACACACTACTAGAGGCTTGTTTCATAATTCATATCTGTTGTTTAATCAATAAAATTAGTCAACTGTGGAAACAGCAGTATCTTAGAGAGCATGTGTGTGGTTCTGCAGGAAAAGTCTGTACCTAGTAGATATGAAATAGAGAGTCTGGAGTTCTTTATGATTAACTTGACTCTTCTCTCCAGGATTTTCTTTAGTTGTGACTGTATAAGTCATGGCTTGACTGTATACATTTTCCTATGAGATATAGCAAACTGAACGCAATGGGATCTTTGGATATGGATAGTAGCTTTTTTCAAGGATATGAAAAGTTACAAAAGATGAATGGCATTAGATAGCATGTATCAACTTGTGTTTCCAGATTGTAAATGACACCACAGAGGCATTTATTGTAGGAAGAGGATGATAGCATCCTGAAGAAATGGAATGAGGAGACGAGTTTCCTTTTCACTACATGGCAGACTTGATCCTAACACATTTTTTGTTTCCTCATTTGCTAAGAGTAAATTAGGAGTTCTCCCCAAATGGATGTGAAGATTTAATTAGAGAATGTACATGGAGATTTCTTGCATGCTAAGCACTGTTAAATATTTTAATGAATGCCAACTACTACTATTTATCAGGCCTTTAGCAAAAATGATTTCGATTTGAATCATGTCAGCACTGAAGGTAGGGTATCATCATCTTCATTGGACAGAGAAGGAACATGGCATGCCAGTAGGCAGATGAAATGCCTAGAGATCTGTTGTCAAGGAGTGATTTCTGATTGCAGCTTTCCTTTCATCTTTGTTCTGTTGCAGTGTTTTAATAAGGCTTAAGTAAAAGTGATTTAAGTGTTTACTGTATGGATTATGCTTGTAAGAAGTGAAAGCAGTGCCCTGGAGTAGGAATCAGGAAATCCAGGTTGGCACTATATTGTGTATTTCTTGTAAGTAATTCATTGTATATGACTTATTAAATACATTTGAAGTACTTGGCTTTCTGCTGAGATTCATGTGTGAAGTGTTTTCTTATTATAACTTTGATCTTAGAATAAAAATTCTCTTTGAAGAGATAAAAGTATTTTACAGATCCCATTTTAGTATTTTGTTCTGCTTTGTTTTCCAGTCATTCTTACACTGGCCAAGATTACAGCACCCAGAAGAACACTGGGAAGATTTCCTTAGATCAGATTGATTCGGTAAGCACCAGCCCCTATTAAAGCAGACTTGTTTCAACTAGAGACCCTTGCTGGAAAGATAGGGAGCAATACCATATGCTTCTGATTATTTTTTAGGAAAGTCTCATATTATGTATGTATTTTTTTTAAATTGGAAGAAAACAAAATTTAAAGGGAAATTGTTTACAGTTTTTAAAAAACAACTTGATTACTGGAAAATGGAATTCTTTTAAATAACAATCACTAAGTGCCGTTTATGTGTTTACATTTAAATACACACATTTAGAAAAGGAAAAATGATGTATATTAGTTAGCTAGAACCATTATAGCAAAATGTTCTAGGTTGGTGACTTAAGTACCAGACGCGTGAAGCCTAAGCTCTGGGTTTCCTGGGGCCTTTCTCCTTGCTGTGTAGACCTCTGCCTTCCTGTCTCATGAGATGGTTTCCCCACTGTTGGCCAATATAGCCTGGTTCTTTCTCTTCTTTTATGTACAGTAGTCACCTTTTATAATATAATGACACCATGCAACTTAATTGCCTCTTTTAGGGATTTCTTTCCAGTCGAACTCTGGGTACTGGGTTAAAAGTTCAGCATGTAAGTGTGGGTGCAGTTACCCAGAAGCGTTCACTAGCACTAACGGAGGCTTCCAACGCATGAACACATGTTCCTCAGCAAAAGTGCTTTGTTATACTTCAGTCTCCAGAATCTCTCTTTAATTACTGTAGTGTGTGCACTTGATCCCACAAAGAAAAAATAAGCCTGCTATAAATAATCTTTATTTACAACTACCACTTCACTTGCAAAAATTAAAAATATAACAGGATTTTAGTGCTGGAATACAAGAATTACAATAAAGTTACCAGAAACCAATCAGAATATACAGATTATCTCATGGTGAATTATAACCTAGTACTTAACAGTTAATATGCCCAGAATTGTCTCTAAATAGCTATTTCACCTTATGATCTCTTTATTACTTTTCCATCCCCCCCCCCCCCAGGACTTCTCTGAAGCTTTGGAGCCTGTCCTGGAACTCACAGATATCTGCCTGACTCTGCCTCCTGAGTACTGGGCTTAAAGGTGTGCACTACCACTGCCAGGCTGCTATTCCATTTCTCCATGTGTTCACTTTATAATATATATTATATATTAATAGTTGAAGTTAATAATAGTTAATTCCATTCCTGCCTCTAGCCAGGTGTTTCCCCATTCACCAGCAAGTGTGAACTGTGGGAACACCAAGACCTGTACTTACTGATTTATGCAGTGGATGTAAATTGAGCCCATCCGTTGTGCACCAGTCACTGGCTGTGAAGCAGAATGGAGTATAACAGAATGTCTGTTCCTTCATAGACCTTTGCTGGGTGAAACAGACAACATAGCAAATGAGCATCGTCCTGTAAAATCACTTGGCAGGGCTGTGCCTGAGGCTTAACTTCATTTGGAAGCTCACTGACTCAGTTGCTTTATCCCTATAACACCATGCCATCAGTATTTCTCTTGGTATTTGCTGGTCATGGACTGCTCCTTCTAGGTTGTTCTATGCTGAAATCTGTATCTGTCAGTGGCACTATTGTCCCCGTGTCTCTCTTCAAATGGGGACTGTATGGAGTTAGTGCCTTTCTTAGAGTACACGACCTCTTCTGAGCCTTCCCTGTTAGGGCTCCAGCTTTCTTAAAGCCCTGGGATCATGACATAGACTGGATTCGTCCGCAGATGCTGACCGTTTTTATTTGCACGGCACTGCATCTGTTGTTGCTGCCCTCTGCAGCATCCCTTATCCTGTCTTTACAGTTTCTGTCAGCTCAGTCTCCATTGCCGTCTTACTGTGGCCAACTCTGTGCTCGACTGTCTTCATTTTCAGTCTGTGGACAGCCATTCGGTTCTCTTAAGTGTTCTTCCTGCTTCCATTCCTGCTGCGTATAGCCCCCGTAGAGTGTCGTAGCCTGGGTTCCTATCATCCACACTCGGGTGCTTACGGCCTGCCTTCTACTTTACTGTGGCTCACTCACTGCGTTCTAGTGCTCCATATTCATTCCTTGTCTTACTCACTGTGCTCTACTATACCATATTCATTCCTTCTTGGAGTTTTTTATTTTCATTACATGAATGGTATTCTTGGATCCTCACGCAAGCAAAATCAAGCTTGGAATCTGTCTTAGGTGAAGTGTGGTTTCCTTGGAGACTCTTCTGTTCCGAATATTCTCTCTCCCAGTCACACTCGATGCCACTGCTGCTGTGTTCCCAGACTTTGACACCATTTTCACCTTCTTATGTCCATGCCCGTTGTCTGCACCACAGTGTAAACTCCAGGAGGGGATCTGTGACCTCTTTCTCTACTGGTAATTGTGAGGGCTGCACACATAATACATGTTCAAATCTTCAATAAATTCTTGGTGGTTGAGAACAGCGAGACTGGGGAATTGTAATAAAGGAAGGAGAGGTAGAAGTGTGTCGTGAGGGACTCCCTGCTGTAACTAAATCACATGAGAGTGGGGCGGGTCCTCCAGACGGTGCCAGCAGAGTGGAAGTGTGTCCAGTGACAAATCAGCCCTCCTGGCTTCTGCGGCTTTTGACTGTGTCCTTGTTGCCATCCTCATTATTTAAGTTATTATGTTGCTGTGTAACAGGTATAGTAGTCAATGTATTGTTCCTTTGCTTAACTGAGTGAGCTGTTTTCTAAAATACTGAATAGAATCTGTTCTATCATATATTAATGAAAAGCTAGCAGGCGCTGGGGATGGTGTGGGCATACACTAAGGACATTGAACATGCACTATTTTTTTTTTTTAATTAAGAAAGAACCAGAGTGTTATGTGAAAATGAACCAAAAGGCTTTCTGTTCGTTCCCCACAAAAAAAGATACAGGTCTGTGTGGTGGTAAGTGTTGAGGATAGAATTTAGTTGTTCTTTACGGAGAGACACTAGATGGTCACTAGAGGGAGCAGCAAAATCAAACAAAGCAAGGCCTGGTCCTCCTTCCGCGGTGAGCTGGCAGGTGTGCCCTGGTGAGAACTCACATCCTAGGAGGAAGGATGCATTTGAGGGAGTTAGGGGAAACGAGGTTGAGACTGTGACTGAAAAAAGAGCTGAATTTAAAAACAAGCAAAGATACTTTGTTTTTCACACTAAAATGTTAAAACCTACATTTTTAAACTATTGGTTAAACATTTATTTGATTTTCTCTTTGAAATCGGTTCTCTTAATTTCATATTCTCCTTTATGTCTAGTTTGTTATGAATCAATTTGGTACTTTGCAGTTATATTTTCAGATATTTTTCTTAGAAAACTGGAATATTATGTCCACATAAACCCTCCAAGCATCCTCAGAGTAGTTTTGTTTGTAATAAAAAGGTGGAAAGGACATAATGCTGTCCCGTGAGCAGACGGCTGAACAAGCTACAGCATATTCAAGGTCTAGACTGTGCTTGTCATTGACGTTCCCGAAGTTGTCACAGGAGAACCTCCAACCAAGTGTGAGGAGCTAGCCAGAAGCCAGTTCTCAAACATGGAACACTATTCTTTATCCCAATTACATCAAATTTGCAACCCCAGCAGATATAATAGGGGACCTAGTATATCTTCACCATTGCCTAAACTTTCTTTTTTTCTTGTAGCTTTCTACCAAATCCTTCCCACCTTGCATGCGTCAATTGCACAAGGCTTTGAGGGAAAATCACCATCTTCGTCATGGAGGCCGGATGCAGTATGGCCTATTCTTGAAGGGCATTGGCCTAACTTTGGAACAAGCACTGCAGTTCTGGAAGCAAGAGTTTATCAGAGGAAAGATGGATCCAGACAAGGTAACACTGAAAATATAGAGCAATAGCAAAAGTCTGTTTTTAAAGTACGCACTGAAACAGCTGAAAAGCATAAAAGATGCACATGTCTTAGTTTATGCAAGAAGAAATTCACATGTTATTCTAGCAAATGCCAAACAAAAGCTTGGGAAAGGTATCTTCTTAAGTAAGCATGTCATCAGTGGACTGAACTTGCTTCCCGAGTTATGTTTCTAGAAGGATGTATATATACAACATAGCACACACACACACACTACCATTAGGTCAAGGCAGTTAAAATATTCTTTCAGGCTGTGTTCAGTTCCTAGAAGCTTCTCAATAGCAGTCACTATGAACCCTTGGAGCTGCTTTTAATCCATCTGTAGCATCATGTTCTTAGGCCCATTTCTCAGTTCTTCTTTCCTACTAATCTCAGATGATAAGATTTTTGTCTCCAAATGTGGTTTTTGTCTCTTTCACATCATGCACTATATAAGGAAAAAAAGTTTGTGTTGTTTATTTCTTAATTTGTTTCTTTTGGAAAAGAGGTTAATAGGAAATGAATATAAGTATATATCATGTTATCTCATATTAGCTTTCCAAGGCTGCTGTAACAAAATTCCAAGTGGCTTAAGCAACAGATCCTTAGTTTCTTGTGGTTCTGGAATCTGGAAATCCCAATCAGGGTTTTGGCAGATGTTGCTTCTTCTGAGGCCTGACCCATGGCTTGAGGTTTGGCCTATTCATGCAGTCTTTTCTCTGTGTGAGTACCACTGCCACCCCCGCTGCTGCAAGGACTCCAGTTGCACTGTGTCAACTACACACGTAGCATCTTACTGCACCTTGCTTCCCCTTCTTAAAGACACTCTTGGAATACAGTCGCACTTGGGATTAAAGCTTCAAAATAGGAATTTTAGGGTAGCATTCCTCAGTATATAACATGTCTCTCGTTTATACTTTAAGAATCTGACTATGTGTTTGTGTGTGTGTGGAGGGGGATGGGTGTGTGTGCATGTGCCAGAGGTTGAGGTCATGTGTCCCCTCTGTTGCTTCCACATTAGTTTTGAAACAAGGTCTTTCGCTGAACCTAGAGCTTGCCATGTCAGCTTGACTGGCTAGCCAGTGAGTTGGGATCTTCCTGTGTCCCTCCCTGTAGCACTGGGTTTACAGACACACACCACCGTGCCCAGCTTTTATGTGGTCTCCATGCTGTGCATTGAACGTGATCACTGATCATCTCGCTAGCCCCTAGACTTTTTTAATATTGTGAAAAGTTCTTGTCCATCTTGCAGACTTGTTTTAAAAACTGCCTTCCTGAGAACTGCCTAGGGACTTTTAAATATATGACTCAATAAAGCTTTCTTTGAACAGTTTAGAATATTTTTTATACTCCTATTATGTTTGTTTTCTTTTAAAGTATTCTAACTGTGGAAAGTATGAAAACTGCAGAAAAATTTACTTGTTTTCCTTCTCCCATTAAGAAGTATTTAGTGTTTAGGCACTCTATAGTTCAGGTAGCTAACTACTGCTCTACCCCACCCCACTATAAAACTTTTATGGTTTTCCGTGTTATTAACTAATCTTTGAAAGGTGATTTGAATTTGTTGCATAATATTGTAGCATTTAAAAATGATATAATTTGTTCCTATAATTTCAGGTTTTAGACATTGGGTTGTCTGTGTGTGCCATGCATGTGTACATGTGTTTTATTCATGTGGAGGCCCAAGGTTGATGTTGGTGTCTTTATTATGCTCCACCTTCCTTTATGAGACAGGTTTTCTCATGAACCTAGAGCTGGCTTTTTCAGTTTGTCTGGGCAGAGAGACTCTGTCCCCTACCACCCTAACACTGGGATTGCAGGCATTCACTAACTATACCCAACTTAAAAATATAGTGTGTATGTGATTTGTGTGTGTGTGGTGTGTGTGTGGGGTGTGTATGTGTGTGTGTGTATGCTGTGTGTGTGTATGTATGCTGTGTGTATGTGTATGGGTTGTGTGCTATGTGGTGTGTGGTATGTGTGGTGTGTATATGTG